CACAGTGGTGGCAGGAGGGCCAGTACTGGAGAAGTCAGCAGGTAGTAGGGCACCAGAGCATCGTTTTCAATCATGCTGAGGTTTGCCTTCATGTCCAGGCTTGGTCCTCCTCCCCATGATGCTGCTGTGGTGTGCAAGCATTGAGCCCTGTCCCGAGTCGCTCCTGGGCACCTTTTGCTGTCTGCAGAAGAGACTGAAAGCAGGAGATCCCTACTTTGCAAACTGGCCCTGGGCTAACATATACAATGGGTCTGTGGGTTTAGGTCCCAGGCAAAACCCTAGTCTGGTTGCCACCTCAAAAAGCCCTGATGAGTCTTTTCTGGCTGGGCAACCATCTCTGGTGGAGAAGGGATGGCCTCCACTGCTCCCTGGAATGAATGCTCTGCGTTGACGGGTTGCCACTCCTTGACTGTTTTCTGGCCTTCTCCTTTATGATTTTGGGCCTTTCCTTCCTGTTGTTTTACCTCCTGAATTCTTGAGATGGTCCTCGTCTTCTTCTTAACACCCCAGCCTTGTCTACCAGACCTGCTGTGTGACGGTGTGCTATCTCAGCTGAGCTGGGGAACTTGGCTGCCTGTGTCCTCTGCGAAGTCAAGCGTCTGACCACAAGGAGCATCTGCTGTGAGGTGAGACGAACCAGACACCATATCCATTGATCAAATTGCCTAAATCTTCACTGACTTGACAGGCAAAGCTGACACTAAAGGGTCTGAAAGGGTCCAAGAGCTCAGTCAGAAGCACCTCAGGTCAATACTGGTGTTGGTAAGAGTCTTGTATCGTTGGTGGAACGAATGCTGAGTGCACGGGAAGGTTTTGTGCACTGAATAAATCTCTTCATTGTCCACCTGAATGGAGACAGAGACCATGATCGGGTTTGTATGACAGTGTAAAATAAATAGTGTAGGTCCCAGCAGGTCCCAGACTGTGTGCCTGGCATTGGATATTCGGGGATGAGCGTGTGCTGCGAGTGCAGGGTGCCGTGAGATGAGTGTGTGAGTGTGTGCCTCTGCTGGCAAGCACCAAGCTGGACCAGGCACCGAGGAGGAGACGCGTGGGGCTGGCGAGAGGGTGCGGGATGCAGGCAGGGGTGTTGGGTGGACAGAGGGGCTGTGTTGGTTCTCCAGGGTCCAGGAATGCGTGTGGCTCTCTGTATTTATGTATTTATGAGTCCTGTGGAGTATATGTGGGTGATGTTGAAGGCAGCAAACATTTTGGTTTAACATTAAGATTCCCCATTCCAAGGGGCTGGCCGCTGATTTTGGCAATGGTAGGCAGGCGGTCACACGCCTCGTGTTGTGGATTCCCCCACATGACTGCGTACGCTGTAAGACTAAATTTTCTTCACAGACAACAGATACTGAACATATTATTATAATATTTACCATTCTCATTTTAGCAGAGTTACATTAATAACGCTTTCTGAGGGGCTTCTGTAATTATTCTCCTGGGAGAAAAATTTCATTCCATACACAAGCAGCAGAACAACAGGTAACAAAATGATTAATCCTAAACACAAAACCAATTGGCCTTGGGGTACTCAGTTTCTACGTCTGCAAGTCCTGTTTTCTGGTTACAGTTCATCGAAGGTCTCTGGTCAATCAAAGTCGAAATTCTCCAGTTGGTGCTTGGTCAGGCTTCGGTGCCTTTTTCACTGTGTAGAATGAATCCGGGAATCAATTCCCTCTACCTTGACTGCAGTGTAAATCTTTTATAGCACAGCATAGGGTCCTTTCCACTTCTCTTTCAACGGTTTGATTTTCCAGGTCTCTATATAAACAGTGTCCCCTGGCTGAAATGGGTGAACTGGTGCATTCAAGGGAAGAGAAACCTTTTGATTTAGGTACCTACGGAGTGAAGACAAATTCTGCAAAAGAGAAATCAGTCTTATTGAATTGCAGCCTGTCCTTTTCTATGCATTTGGTGTCTCTTAATGTTTAAAAGATTTGTGGGATGTGCTTTCCCCTATATGATCTCAGAGGGGCTCACTCCTGCCTTGACCCTAGGGGTTATCTGAATTCACAAAAGAGCTTCTGTCCACTTAGGGTCTGCTTCCTGACAGCATTTAGAAACTGGTCTCTTGAGAGCCTGATTCATCCTTTCTACCTTCCCACTAGACTGTGGCCTCCAGGGGGTGTGTAGATCCCACTTAAATCGGAGAAATCTCCACACTCCCTGAACCACTCCTGAAGGAAAAGGAGGTCCACTGTCAGAGGATAAACCCTCAGGGATCCCAAACCTAGGGCTAACTTCTTTTGATAAAATTTCAGCAACTTCCCTGGCCCAGCTGTTTTGACAAGGGAAAGCTTCAGGCCACTCAGAAAATGTTTCTGGTAGAACAAGCAGATATTTGTATTGTGCACTTTTTGGTAACTCGGAGAAGTCTATTTGCCCGTACTCAGCAGGGGCTATTCCCCCTTTTCCTTCGCCCATTGGTGGCTTCCTTTGCATCTTCGAGAGTCCAGTGGAGGGCTATGAGGATGATGAGGGGACTGGAGCATCTCTCCTATGAGGAGAGGCTGAGGGAGCTGGGCTTGTTCAGCCTGGAGAAGAGAAGGCTGCGAGGGGACCTTCGAAACGCCTCTAAATATCTGCAGGGTGGGGGTCAGGAGAATGGGGCCAGACTCTTTCCAGTGGTGCCCAGCGACAGGACAAGGGGCAACGGGCACAAACTGAAGCCTGGGAAGCTCCAGCTGAACCCGAGGAAGAACTTCTTCCCTCTGAGGGTGCCGGAGCCCTGGCCCAGGCTGCCCAGAGGGGCTGTGGAGTCTCCTTCTCTGGAGATATTCCAGCCCCGCCTGGCCGCGGTGCTGTGCCCCCTGCTCTGGGTGACCCTGCTTGGGCAGGGGGTTGGGCTGGGTGACCCACAGAGGTCGCTGCCCACCCTGACCATGCTGGGATTCTGTGTGATTCATGGCACCTCATCTCATTTTTCCATTCTATGACAAAGTAGCGTTAATTGTAATATAGTACTAGATGCTAGGGATCCGTTTTCAGGCCATCTTTCACCATCTTCCCAGTGATATTGTGGCAACTATTGATTACACTACCATTTTCATTTATCCCTATCAGGGGGTCCCCTCCAAATCGATGTTAATTCTTTAGGATGCATCCTAAGGGAGAACAAAGAGGAGCCTCCTTGGAAGCAGTGGAACCCTGCTCAGTACCAAGAAAGAATTTCCTAACCCAACATTTCATACACAAAAGTTCCAAATACAAAATGAGGGATCTTCTCACTACGTTACAAACTCAGTATGTAGAAACAAAACTCTGCTGCTTCTGCGTAGCTTTTCTGAAGCATCTTATGCAGAGCTGAAGCAAAGCTTATGTAGAGCTTGTGCAAAGAACAACTCCAGCTGCTTCCTTAAGAGGTCTCACTGTTCCCCTCTTTTCCCCTCAAAATACCTCTATTCCAATGGCGTTGCACCGTTGTGACGCTTACCACCCGACGGCAGGAGAGGAGCCGGTGGGGTCCCCAGTCAACAGGTTGGTGCGTGCTGGAGTCCAGCCAGGCCGCTTCTCCCTGTTGGGTACTGCAAGGCGATTGGGCAAGGCTGTCAGCGCAGTCCCATCTGAATTGTCAAAACCGTTGTCCCAAAATTGGGATCATTTACCCGGAGTGCGATACGCCAACAGACTCACAGAGCAGAGGTATTGTCTTCATTGCATATTTGCACACATATGGGTGCTAGGTGATAATTCCACAAAGCTAGCACACCGCTGAGCGGAGTCACAAGGACTATATACCCTCACAAAAATAAGGAAATTACTCCCTACATTCTGATTGGTTTGTCCGGTTGTACACTCATCTTAAAGGTATATTCCTTCTTTATTTAAATATGCATGCTCGCCAGCTGTGCTGGGGTGCTGTCTTTTGGGTTCTGAACTGAGTCGGTGGTCGCAACCTCCCCCTGCCACCTCTACCTTTCTCCTAGTTACCCTCGATTTTTGCCCGAGGTACCCTAGATTTTTGTTGACTTCAAGCTTTTTCCACAGTCATCCAGCTTTTGACTCCTTCTGGGCAGGATGGTCCCCTTTTATCCGTCTGTTGGCTCCTCTTCAAGGGCATAGTTGTTAGTCAAGCATACATTGTCTGTACAAAGTAGTCAGGCCCAAATTAAACAGCGTCACTACCACCTAAGCCTTTCTGCCCGATATCACAGGCAGGGGTGTTGGGTGGACAGAGGGGCTGTGCTGGTGCTCGAGGGACCCAGGAATGCACAGAGCTGTCTGTACTTCTGTATTGATGAGTCCTGTTGGGTATATGTGTGTGCTGCTGTGGCAGCACCTTGTCCATGCCTGGTTGTCGTGGTTTAGCCCCAGCTGGCTACGAAGAACCACGCGGCTGTTCACTCACTCCTGGCCCCTGGTGGGACGGGGAGGAGAATTGGAAGAAAATGGCAAAACACGGGGGTTGGGATAAAGAGAGTTTAACAGAACAGCAAAGGAACAGAGAAGTAACAACAATAATACCGATATAAACAATAGATAAAGCGGGTGATTCACAATGCGATTTGCTGACTGCTCAATGCCTACCCCACTCCCGAGCAGAAATTCCCCTCCTCTGGCCATCTCCCCCAGTTAAATGCTGAGCAAGACGTCAGATGGCATCGAATATCCCATTTGTTTGGCTGCTTTGGGTCAGCCATCCCGGCTGTGCTCCCTCCCAGCTTCCTGTGAAAATTAACTCTATCTCAGCGAAGCCAGGGCACAGGTTGTGTGGCCAAGGCAGAGCGTGTGTGTGTCTGTGTGTGTCTGTGTGTGTGTGTGTGTTGTGTCCAGGATACACGCTCAGCTTCAGGGTTGAACCTGCAAACGGGAAAGCAGCAGGGACATCCCTTGTCCTGGGATGGAGACTCTGGGTCTTGGGGCATGCCAGGCTGGGCTCCAGCAGCTGGGCAGGAGGAATCCCCAGGGCTGGAGCTGCTGAAGACCCCTCTTATAAGAGGCTGGGGCCTCTTACAACATACCTTAAAGACAGTCTGTTTTCTTCTTCCACAGCCATGGGGTCACCGAAGGATGTATTAGAGGGTGATGAAAAGGCACACGTTGGCAAAAAGCTGCTGGCAGAAGCATGTGAGAAGGAAGGACTGGATGATGCATACTGGCTCCCCAAACTGTCAGAGATACTGGGTGTCAAGTCCAGAGAAGCCCTGAAACATCTGCAATATGAAGACTACCTTAAGCTGGAGTGCGAAGTACGGTACCCGTGGGAAACCAAGGCGCTCCGAAAACTCCTGGAACTAGCAGACAACAAAGCAACTTCTGAGGAGCTGCAGAAGGAGCGCTTGGAGGTGGCAAAGCAGAGACAAGAAGCAGCAAAGGTAGCCCTGAAGGAGCTGAAAGAAATGCACAACAGCCGCAGCCACAGCAAGGACGTTCTAAGACAGAAAGAGGAGGCTCTGTGGCAAGCCATGGAGATTCCCAAGGAGTACTGGGCACTACAGGAGAAGTCTCTGGTGGATGCGCTGGAGAGAATCCAGAAGCAGCTGGAGCAGCAGGAGTTGTCGGTGGGCAGGGCTGAGAACGTCTCTGACCCGGAGGTCCTGAGGCGGGCGTCAGGGGGACTGGCCCTGCAAGGCATTTACAGAACCAGCAGCCTTGCCGATGTGCTGGGAAAGCGAGTGGACATCAATTCCCGACGGCTTCAGGCTGGCCGGTCCAGAGCAAGGGTCGCTGCTTGAAAGGAAGGAGTTCTCCTCCTCTGCAGCAGAAGCCACTTTCACCAAGTCCATTGAGCAGCTGGGGTTCAGCATCAGCGTTTGTGCCAAAGCTGGGTTCTGGGGGTTTAATGCTGAAGCTGGTGTCGATTACAGCAGGTCCTCACAGTCGGAGGACACCCACCAGTCGCGCTCGGAACAGAGCTACATTTGCACCACCAAGTACCAGTACATCCCTCTGGCCTCCTGCTACTTCCAAAAGCATCAGCTTCGCCTCTCGGATGCGGCCCTGCGGGAGTTGCAAGACATTGAGCATCTTTTGAGCATCACTCAGGAAGCAGACAGGCCCAACATGCTGAGGAGTAGGTGTGCCAGCTTCTTCAGCAGGTTTGGGTCCCATGTAAACCAGGGTCCCCTCCACTTTGGGGGGATATTCTGGTGGAAGGCATCTACGGAAGGATTCAGAGCCGAGCAGCGGGAAGAGATGAAGCGACAAGCATCTGAAGCACTGAACTGCTACATCGAGGCCAGCTACAGAGGCTTCAGTGTCAGCGTGGCAGTAGACATGGACAGTTCGAAATCCAGCTCCCAGGCTTCTTTTCAGGGAAAAGATGGAAGGAGGGCCCACACAGCGGGTCAGCTTACGTGACCAGCACAGGGGGCCCGCCAGAGATGGATTGCCTTCCTCAGTGGAAACTGGGGCTTGTAACTAATAACACAACCTGGTGTGTCATCGACCGAGGCTTTCATATGATCCCCGTGTGGGATATAGTCCTGTTCAATCACAGCAGTGATTTTGAGTCCAGCTATGAAATGAGCAGCAGCCTCAGGGCTGCGTACGAAGCGCTAACGAATAACAGTGTTGGCACCATGTTTGGAGAGGAACTGGTCAGTGCAGTGGAAGAGGCCAGAGCTTTCGTGGGGAAGGTGAAGGGCTGGGAGGTGATGGTGGATGAAAGGAAACTGCTCACCCTGGTAGATTTCAAACAGAATCTGAATGAAAAAACTGGAAACCACAGCGTCTGGATCAACGTATGCCTGTCAGCCAAGGCACTGCAGGAGTTCCTGGTGAATACCGTTCTGTTTTGCAAGAAGTCACCTCCCGAAAACACCACCTACATCAAGTCTCTGTTGAGGTGCCTCCTGGATCCTCATATCTATTCTGTCAAGGACTTCCCCAGGTCTTCCTTCGTTATGCAATGGATCTTCCAGACTGAGTACGCGCTTCCTGAAACTCCCGATGTTTCTGAGCTTGAAGATCTCACCAAGACCCTGGTGCAAATGAAGGAGTACATCCAGGAAGTCACCTACGCACCAGAGACCTCTGCATCTGCCATTCATGAAGCAAAGATAAAAGCCACCTTGACTGCAAGCCTAGCTGTTTATTCCTTACTCCAGTTTCTCCGGGAAACAGCACAGAAAGACATAGAACTGTTGGTGCTCTTAATCACGACCAGCACGGGATACCAGGTGGAAAGTAGCACTTTTCAGTACCTCCTTGGATGTCCAGAAATCAACTTCATGATAGAAGAATTGCAAATGGGACATAAGGAGTATCTGAGTCTGAAGGAGCAAGATGTTTACAGAGCCCAGGCCTTCCTGCTGCTGACGGGTCTAACTGTAACACCCAAACATAAAGGGGTGTCCCCTGAGCAGAAGAGTAAGTGTTTAGTTCTCATGGAAGATCAGATGAAAAACTTGTGGTCCACAGAGATAAAAACTCTCCTGGAAAAGCACAGTGCATTCAAAGACTGGGAGATGCTGGAAAGTGACTTGCATTCCTTCGTTGACGGGCGCTTGGATGACACACGTGATGGTCTGAAGAAATGCAGTATAATCCAAGACATGGAAGACATTTTTCAAAGACTAGAGCCTTCCAGTCAGTCCAAATGCAAAGCAGACAGCAGGGAATCTGAAGCAAATCCAGCCTTTGCAAACCAAGAGTTCCTCCACTTACTTAAGCGCCTTGGACTAGAAAGTCACTATCCGAGAAAAATGGGGACGGAAGATTTCCACATCATATACAAGACAAGTTTACATGACAGCCAGCCCAGCAAGGACAATGAACTACCATTTTACTTCTTGCAAAAGCTATTAACTGTGGATTATCGGGTGAGGTACCTGACTTGCAAGGATGAGAGCGACCCAGGACTCGCACCTGTGCCAAAAGCCACAGAGCAAGAGCATGAACCCTCGGATTCCTTTGATGACTTTTTGGCTGCTTTGGAGGAAGGCAGCCCTGAATCTTCAACCAGCGACAGTCGTGTGCACCCCATGGACCTGCAGATGGCAATTTTTCATTGCGCTGATGATTTCATGAGACAGTACATTTCCACAAAGCTTGCTTTCTGCCAGTTTGCGCTACCTCTCCTGGTACCAAACCCCTGCACTTCACAGATAGAGTTCCCCCTCTGGTCCCTCAGCCAAATCAAAAAGAGCTGGAAAGGGGCTGAGAAGTCAGGGAAGCAGGCTGGAATTATGAGTTACAAAAACAAACTCATTTGTCAGGCAGAGACACCCATTGTGTCCTTCATCCGGATCGGCAGTTCTCCCTCCTCTTCCAAGTCTCAGCTCCTGAATGCTCTGCTGAGCAAACAGAAGCATGACACTTTTTTCCACCGACATTGCAAAGGCAGCACCAAAGACTGTTTGCTGATGAAAGGTGTTGTGGAGATCTCCTGGTACTGTCCCCGGGGTAGCGACGATGACAGCTTTGACTGCTGTGTTGCCTTCTGTAACCTGCACGGAGATGCAAGGGATCACGAAGAGCAGCTGCAGTTTTTGCAGGAGATATCTGCTGTGAACGTGGCTCTCGTATCCGAGTCTGATCAGAGTGACAAGAAAGGGATGAAAATCTTACGTGACCTGTGGCAGTCGCAAAAGCCTTTGGTTTGCCTTTTCACTGAAAAAGAGAATGTTGCCGCTGGCCGATCTAGCCAAAACACAAGAATAGGTATCAAGAACAGAAACAAAGCAGAATTGATGGACGAGCTGATAAAAACAATTAAGGATCTCCTGCAAGGCTCTAATACTCTTTTCAGCCTGGATGCCTGCCTGGACAAAGCTCGCAAGCACGGATTCTTAGTCGATGAAGATGCAGACGCCTGCGTGATAGCCAAAGAACAGGCAAAGGCACTGGTGGAGCTTCTGAAGAAAGAGAAGTTGTCTGAGATCAAATCACAGCTCCTGCCTCTTCAAGGAAAACTATGGCACATGTGGTGCAAAAAGGACAAAGAACTGACTCGCTTGCAGGAAAAGAGGAACAAGAGCATAGAGCACCATCGGAGTCAAATTGAGTCAGAGAAGTCAGCCATAAGAAGGAAGCAACTAGAGAAAGCATACCCCCTCAATCCGCTGATGAAATCAGTCCTTGGCTTTCTCCAGTCACAGCCAGCAGATACCAAGAAATACTTTCTGCAGTGGATGAAGGTCTTTATGGATGACCTGTCCTCCGATCGCCTTGACGAACTGAGGAAAGACTATCACCAGCTATGGTCTCAAATCCTGGCAATAAAGAAAAGCAATGAGAAAACTGATGTGAAAAGTTGGATGCTGAGTAAGTTAGAAGCCCTCTCCAATGAAATCAATGATTCATCCATCGGCCTGGAGCATATTTTGAGAGAGGTAGGGCAGATTTACGAAGCTCTGGAATCAGTGGATAAATGTTTTGTCAAATTACCTGAAATTGCAGCTGATCTGATGGTTTCAGGGTATCCTGTCGAGCTGATGGATGGGGATGCTTCTTACGTACCATTACGATGGGTCGGAGCAATCTTTGACAGATTAATTGAGAAGCTAGGGGACAAACGAGTATTTGTTCTCTCAGTGATTGGCATTCAGAGCACGGGGAAGTCAACCCTCTTGAATGCCATGTTTGGTCTTCAGTTTAATGTCAGTGCAGGGCGATGCACCCGGGGAGCGTTTATGCAGCTAATTAAAGTGGATGAGAAGCTGCGACAGGATTCGGACTTTGATTACATGCTAGTTGTCGACACAGAGGGACTTCGTGCCATAGAGATGGCCAATAAACAGTCCCTTAATCATGACAACGAGCTGGCCACCTTTGTCATTGGCGTCGGCAACATGACTCTGATCAATATCTTTGGAGAAAATCCTTCAGAAATGCAAGATGTCCTTCAGATCGCTGTGCAGGCTTTTCTGCGGATGAAGCAAGTAAAGCTCTCCCCAGGCTGCCTGTTTGTACACCAAAATGTGGGAGAAATCAGTGCCAAGGAACAGAACATGGAAGGACAAAGACGTCTGCAGGAAAAGCTGGATGAAATCACAGCGCTTTGATGTGAACACCCACATTCACTACTTTGCTCACCTGTGGGAAGGAAACCCGCCAATGGCACCACCCAACCCCACCTACAGCCAGAACGTCCAGGAATTGAAGAGCAAAATTCTCCAAGCTGCCAAGAAGGAGTCGCAGGGCAGCATTTTGAGGCTCTCGAGCTTGAAAGTTCGTATTACTGACCTCTGGAACGCTTTGCTGAACGAAAACTTCATTTTCAGCTTCAAGAATTCAGTGGAGATTGCTGCGTACAAGAAGCTGGAAACTGCATTTAGTCAGTGGACCTGGCAGCTGAGGAGTCACATCTTAGACTTGCAAATGAAACTGGACAATAAAATTCGGAATGGGGACTTGCAGAAGGTCACCATAAAAACCCTTGAAGATCTAGTGCAAGGGACAAGTGATGCCATCATGAAAGACATGGAAAAGTATTTCAGTGAAGACAGAGACCGTGAGATACTGGTCCAGTGGAAAAGCAGCACGGAACTGAAGCTGAAAGAACTCAAAGAGTCTCTTCTTCTTGAAACCAGAAAGAAGTGTGAGAATCTTCTTGAAGTAAAGAAGAACCAGCGCAACCTGGATGAAAGGAAGTCAGAATATGAAGACAAGCTCCTGAAAAGGAGTAGGCAGTTGGCTCTGTCTCTCAAGGGCCAGAGACTAAGTGAAAGAGAACTGAGAGACAACTTTATTTCTCTCTGGGCAAAATGGGTTGCTGAAGTGTCCTCTGCTGCTCCCCCCCTAGAACAGGTTGATATAGATGTGGAAATTGAAGATGTCCTTCTAGATCACTTTAAGGAGCCGAACTTACATGCACGAATCGGGGCAGTTCCAGAAAAACACAGAGAATTTTCTGTTGATGTGAAGAAACATGTTGCTAAGAAGAAACATTGGGGCATCTTGCCTATGAGCTTTGATGACGCTGATGTGAGCAGCATGCACCGCATTACAGAGAACATCATAGCGTCTGTGAGGGCAAACATTGATAAGAAGGAAAAGGAGAAAAGGGATTACAGTCGAAGTTTTCTTCATGAAATACTAAATGAAGTACAGAAAGGTATGAGCTCTGTCCCTAGCAATGCAAAATACAGTTTTAATAACAATTACAGAATAGATTTGTCACTGTATCTGTGCAGAATGGCAGCAGAAAGGTTTAAAGACATGCACGCGGCATTCAGAAAAGCAAATGATCCAGCCATCTACCTGGAGAGCAAGAGAGAAGATTTCTTTAAATGTTTCCAGATTTCCTGCCAAGGAGCCACTTCTATCACAACATTTGCTGTTTTTCTGTGCGACAAGATTGCCCCAGCTCTTCACCGGGCAGTCTATGAGAGGACAGCGCTTGACATAGCTCGAGACATGAAGAGTAAAATCCCGGACTTCAGAGGCAACAGATCCTGTCTGGAAGTTTGCATACTGAGATACCTGGCACAAGAAGAAAATTTTGAGAAGTTCAAGAATTACCTTCAGTGCCCAGGAGACTTTTTAGAGACGTACATTGAGACACGTGTTGAGATGTACTGCTTAGATAAGAACAGGAGGCTGGAGAAGTTCTTAGATGACTCCCTCACTCACTGCTATGAAAGCATCCAGTCAGCAGTTTTTGCATCAACCAGAATTGTCAAAGACAGAAAAGACAGAAATGACAAAATCTCTCTTTGGCTGGATGAATTCTGCAGCGCACTTGGAGAGCTGCTGAGCTTGCCCAGAAGGGACCTGAAGGGCATTGAGCATCAAGAAATAACAGACATAGAGTTCCTGAATAACGCCATGACAGAAGCACTGACTGCCCTGAAAGAGCGTCTCAAGGAAGAGTTTGTGAGTGCCGATATGAGCTCGTTCGAAAGGCAGCCTCACACCATCCTGGCCGAGCAGTTTGCAGGGTGCTGGGAGAAGTGTCCCTTTTGTGGGGCTCTTTGCACAAACACCATGCCGAATCACGATGGAGACCATCGCCTTGTCTTCCATCGTCCGCAAGTATTGACAGGATACAGGTGGCATAAAACAGACAATCTGGTCATTGATATTTGTTCTAGTAGCGTTGCAAGTGATTGTTTATTCAGGATTGGTGAAGACAAATGGATCCCCTACAAGAGCTACCGTGATGCAGGATCACAGAGACATGGTGCTGATCCGTCCATGCAACTGTACTGGAAATGGTTTGTGTCTCATTTCAGGAGAGAGCTAGAAATATGGTACAATGGGAAATTTCATGGCAAAGGAGAAATTCCTGCTTTGTGGCAGAGAATTACAAAGCAGGAAGCACTTGACGAACTGGAGAAGCTTTAGGCCAAGTCGATATGAAGGAAGAACGGCAACTGCTTTGCATTTTAGAAGAACGTAGTACAAGTCTATCCACAAAAGTCTTCCACCTCAAGCCACATGAAGAAAACAATATCTAATTGCTCCCAAAGTTAGGTAAAATGAAGTGTGCTACGCCTGCTATTGCTCAAAAATTCCTTTGCTTCATGGTAAAGTCAGAATCCTCTTCCCCTCTTGCCATAAACATTTAGCTCTGCTTTGTCTTAGATTGCCCAGAAAGATAAAACCAAAAACATCCCTGCTACAAGCCGTCATATGGCCAAGATGAAGACCAAGTGCCGCATGAAGAGCAAAGGCAGCATTAGAAAGTATCAATGTTGTCCTAGCCGTGACAGCAGCCACTCTTGCTATTTGCTTAGCTGTTGAGCAAAAGCCTTTGTATGCGCAAGGTAGAGAATTACGTATCTTTGCAGCTTCCTCAGCAGCCATCGGCAGTGTGTGATGTTAGTGTTTGTGCTGTGAGGACAGGCTGATGGCAATGGGGCGATGGTCTGGAGAACATGTAACCAGCTGGGACTTCACCAGTGAGGCAGTTGGCGGTTTTTGCTGCACAGCTCCTGCAACGCCGCTGGAAACCCAAGGACCAATCCTTCCTGGAGAGTCAGCCAAAGTAGTGATTCCGTATAATCCCTGGTAGTCTTTGCTAATAAACTAATGGAGTTGGACTGGACCAATCTCTGTAGCCTTTATTGTCAGGTGAGCCCCAGTTGTGTGTGACTTCAGCGTTGGTGCTGTGAAGACGGGCAGGTGGCAACTGGGCGATGGACTGGGTACGAGTGTGTGGAAGCAGAGTGTCTGCTCTTTTCCAGGTGTCTGGCCAAGGACCTTCTTCAGTGTCTGAAGGGATAATACTATGGGGAGGAAGCCATAAGCAAGAACCTCCAGTTAAACAGATCTGACCAACAAATGACAAGGGAGTGGGAACCAAGCCTGGTCAGTCACAGTAACTGATGAGTGTGAGGGTGAGAAGGTTTATTCCACCGAGGTTATCTGACTGGGGAGCGGGTCAGATGGGAAGCTAAGGGGAAAACGCAGACATTGAGGTGGGAAGGAATGCAGACATGCCTTGAGGAGACACAGGGATGCTGTAGCTCTTCTTTTCTGCAAGGTTTTTAACCGACGTTCTCAGTGACACTGACTCACTCAAAAGATGCCATTAGGGAAGGCAAAAGAACTGGTGATGGTGGGATGTGAATGCAAAGCTGACCAGGAACTGTCTGGGAGGAAGATGGGGTCTGGAGACCCTAAGGGACAGGGCTGGGGTGACAGGCTGGGAGGAGGTCAGGCTGGTGCTGGAAGAGGAGATGGGGAGATCCAAATGTGCCAACTTTGCTTTCTCTTTCTCTTCTCCCCTTCCTTGCTTTATCTTTGTCGTGATTTAACCCAGTAGCCGGCAACTACGCACTAGACAGCCACTTCCTCACCCCTCCTGTTCCCCCACGGTGGGGTGGGGAGGAGAAACGGACAAAGGGGGAAACTCATGGGTTGGGATAATCATGTTTAATAAGGCAACAAAGGAAAATACCAACAGTGAATATGCAAAAAATCAATACACGATACCACATTTTTTCTCACCTCCTGGCCACCAATTGTGTAGCCAGTCCCCGAGCAGCAATCGCAGAACGCAGAACTCGCGGCTCTTATGAATTTCATGGAACTCCCGAGAAAAGGCCAAATTCATGGAAAAGTTCGCACTCGTGGAAAAAGTTGAGATTGTTAAAAGTCCTGGAAAAACAGAGTTCCTGTTCCAAATTTTTAAACTGAGCAGGGCATCCATGGTATTGAGTATTTCCATTGGCCAGCTTGGGCTAGCTGCCTGGGCATGCTTCCGCCCAGCTGCCGGACAACTGCTCATCAGCTGAACATGGGACACTGACAGAAGTCCTTGATTTCTTAGCAACAACTGAAAACATGAGTGTCATCAACATTATTCTCCTACTAAATCCAAAACACAGCAGATAGTGGGAGGAAAATTAACTCTTCCCCAGCCGAAATTAGGACTTAGAAGATCTTCTTCTCTGCCTCCTTGCTCTATCCTTCTTGTCGTCCAGCCTATGTGTACCCCCCATTTCCCCCCTCTGCATGGAATCCCAAACACACATCCCTTGTTCTATCCGGTGGGACACGGACAGGCTCCCCGTGGAGCCCATGGGTTCCCCTCACCCCAGCCCTGCCCTAAATGCTCCTGGGGTTCTCCCATCAGTGTCCCCTCCCAACCCCCCAGTATGCATGGAGCCTGGAATGCCCCCAGTCCCAGCTGCATTGGGAAGGTCCCCCTGTTCTGGCCCCTTTGGGTCACCTTTCTCTTACATTTTTCTTTAAAGGAAAAGGTCCTTCTGGTGTGTCAGCTGCACCACTCAGCTTGGTGTCATCGGCAAACATGCTGAGGGTGCACTTGATCCCACTGTCTGTGTCATCGATGCAGATATTAAACAGTACTGGTCCCAGTGCGGACCCCTGAGAGACACCACTCGTCACCGATCTCCATCTGGACATTGAGCCGTTGACCACTGCCCTCTGGGTGAGACCATCCAACCAATTCCTAAGCCACCGAACAGTCCCATCAAGTCCCTCTTTCTCCAACTTAGAGAGCAGGATGTCATGGAGGACCATGTCTAAGGCCTTACAGATGTCCAGACAGATGACATCCGTAGCTCTTCCCCTGTCCACTGGTGCAGTCTCTCCATCACAGAAGGCCACCAGGTTGGTGAGGCAGGGCTTGCCCTTGGCGAAGCCCTGCTGGCTGTCCTCGATTCCCGCGTGCCTCCCTGCGCCTTAGCAGAGCTTCTAGGAGGATCTGCTCCATGATCTTCCTAGGCATGGGAGATGAGGTGAGGCTGACAGATCAGTAGTTCCCAGGGTCCTCCTTCCTACCCTTTCTAGAAATGGGCATGATTTTTCTCTTCTTCAGTCACTGGGGACTTCGCCTGACTGCCAGGACCTTTCAAATACCGTGGAGAGTGGCTTGGCAACAACATCAGGGAATTTCCTCAGGACTCTGGGATGCATCTCGTCAGGTCCCATAGAGGCAGGTATGTTCAGGTTGCTCTGGTGTCATGGTCAACATGCTGGAGAGACGGGGTGCCGTCCCAAGGGACCTGGACAGGCTTGAGAGGTGGGCCTGGGCAATCCTCATGAAGTTCAAAAAGGTCAAGGGCAAGGGTCTGC